GAATCTCTCATTGACCCTGATTTTACAATTGCACAACTTACAGTATTTGAGTGTACTGTAACATGCTATTCATTTAAAGTTTTATTTGACCTTTTTGGCCTTTGCAGTTGGCCTGCAGTATTTTTGCAGTATCCAAGTGCTGAATACATACAAACATGTACTATTCAATATTCAGCACAATACTATTCTTGCAGTACATACTGTACAATAGGACTATACAATATATTCACCTTACTCAGTTGCAATTACTTTCTTACAGAATTACAAAATTGTTTACTCAATACAATATACTGATGATCTGTAGTGCTTATTTTATTGACTCATGTGTGTAATCTGAGAGCACTGTTTGATTTTGAGTGCAAGTGAAATGCTTTTGCAGTGATTGTTTGATTTTCATGCAAGAGTCAGAGGTTTCGTGAATTTAGGTTGAGTATTTGGATTTGAGTTTAAGGTTTTGAGAAAATGAGTGATGGTTTCAAGATGGTTTAGCAATTCAGAAAAACTGTAAGAAAAGATCATATGTAAAAGTCAACTATATGTATATATGTTTGTTAATAATAAAAAGGGATTCGCAGATACACTATGAGGGCAAGGCAGGGATCAGCCCTTCAGGTTAAACAAGCTATTTTAGCATGGTGATTTATGACTGAGTTATGGATGAGAATTATGAGTTATGACTGATTGTGAAAAATGGTTTAATATCATTTAATATTTGAAGCAGTGATAGAAATTCTAAAATGTGAGGTCAAAAAATGTCTTCTATTTTTTTCAAAATCGATATTTAATATCATTTATAATATTTTTTCTCTAGATTCTATTTTATTCTTAGACAGCAAAGTGAACATTTCAGTTAATTATTAAAGTTTTGACATGATGAAAATGATTAAAAAGTGTGTTAAACTGTGTCAAATGTCCCTGAAAATTAATTAAGGATTAAATGAATTAGAATTACAGTTTTTCTGAATTGCTAAAACACATTTCTTGAAACCATCACTCATTTTCTCAAAACCTTAAACACAAATCCAAATACTCAAACTAAATTCACGAAACCTCTGACTCTTCCATCAAAATCAAACAATCACTGCAAAAGCATTTCACTTGCACTCAAAATCAAACAGTGCTCTCAGATCACACACGAGTCAATAAAATAACACTACAGAGCATTCATTAGACACTACAGAGAAAAATGGAGAACACAGCATCCAGAACATTACAGAAAAAAGTATATTGTATTGAGTAAACAATTTTGTAATTCTGTAAAAAAGCATAGTAATTGCAACGGAGTAAGGTGGATATATTGTATAGGCCTATATGTACTGCAAGAATAGTATTGTGCTGAATATTGAATAGTACTGAATGTTTGTATGTATTCAGCACTTGGATACTGCAAAAATACTGCAGGCCAACTGCAAAGGCCAAAAAGGTCAAATAAAACTCTAAATGAATAGCATGTTACAGTACACTCAAATACTGTAAGTTGTGCAATTGTAAAATCAGGGTCAATGAGAGATTCCTTCTGTCTCAGCATCATGTCTTTGTGCTTGAGTCCGGCCTGAGGACATTGTCCACATCACAATGTTGTGTTTTTTTGCTAGACAAAGAGAAAAAACCCTCTGGTCTGACAGATCCAGCCTTGATAACACTCTTTACAGTAAACCTTACTCTTTCTCTCCTCATCCTCCACTTCTTACATGTACTCTTCCTCCTCTCCTTCTCAGATTGTTTCCATCTATTGTTCGTATCATCATTCAGTCACTTGTGCCACTTGTGCACTCTGAACTAGCTCATATTTTGTACAGTTGGTTTGATCACATCATTAGAAACAAGTGTGAACAATTTTGAATCGTTGCGTGTAAACGATGACAACTGTGCTTTAGTTGTGTTTAACTTTTGCCGCTTGTGTTTAGCATTTTGCAGCAGAAATGCATCACCGTGTGATAAGTGTTTAAGTGAATGAGAATGTGTTTAGAGTTTTGCAAAAAGAGTACATGAGATTTGCAAATAGAGCCTAACTGCCTGAATGTGTTTAAGGCTTAGCAGAAAGAGTGCTTTATTCGACAAATTGGTTTAAGCTAGAGAATGGGGTTTAGTGTTTTAGCAATTCAGAAAAGCTGTAAAAATCTATTAAAACATTTGTCACATGAACACAAATATATCTTTCTCTCTCTATCTGTCTCTAAGTTTTAGTTTTTTTTGTACAGTGGCCCCAAAATGTGCTTTTGGGAAGTCAAAAAATTTAAATGAATCAGAAATTGAATGAACTTCAATAATTTAATGAATCAGAA